GGGTCACAGCTGGTGCCTTCCTGCATCCCACAGCCCAGGTGCTCGAGCAGCAGATCCTCCTGAGCCCCCAGGAACAGCTGGGCAGCTCTGCCCCCCTTCCTCTCCACACCCACCTCAAGGACACACTAAATTTGTTTGGCTGCTCCTCTCATGATGATCTTATGAACTCCTGAAGGAGTTTTTTTTAAACCAGAAGAACCTTGTGGATGTCTGGGGAGCATCTCCTCAATTTGTTTGTATCCCTTCCCTGTTTCAGTCAGAGAATTCCAGACTGATTTGGGTTGGAAGGGACCTTAAAGCCCATCCAGTGACACCTTCCACCAGCCCAGGTTGCTCCAAGCCCCATCCAACCTGGCCTTGGACACTTCCAGGGATCCAGGGGCAGCCACAGCTTCTCTGGGCAACCTGTGCCAGGGCCTGCCCACCCTCCTAGCCAGAAATTCCTGCCCAATATCCCACCTTTTCAAGTAGGAAGCCATTCCCTGTGTCCTGTCCCTCCATGCCTTGTCCCCAGTCCCTCTCCAGCTCTCCTGGAGCCCCTTTAGGCCCTGCAAGGGGCTCTCAGGTGTCCCTGGATCCTTCTCTTTTCCAGGTGAACCCCCCAGCTCTCCCAGCCTGTTTTGCTGCTCCAGACAGGGCTGGGTGTTGTTTGAACTCAGCCACGAGCCAGGTGAGCTGGAAAATTGTCCAGGAGGAGCCTCCTTCCTGCACTTTCCTCTATAAACATAATTTTCCTGCTTGGAACATTTCCTGTTCCCCAGTTTGGTCTCTGTTTCCACAGTGATCCAGGTCTCCTGGGAGCTGGCCTGTGCTCAGAACCTGCTCTGGCACACAAGGGCATAACTGAACAGGGGTGATGTTTTATTAATATTGGGAATGTTTTATTAAGCAGTTGTTCTCAATTTTATTTTTTTTTATGCTTCTTATTTTGAAGCAGAAAATAATTTATTCTTCCCTTTTTCGGTGGAAAAACCATTCCCACTCCTTCAGGTCCCACCAGACAGGAGTTATTACAGCCCTCAAAGCAGCTGAAAGCAGCATTTTGGTGGCTGTGAAAGTCCCTGATTTAAACTCAGGACAGAAGATCCATAAGGGATGTTTTCTGGAGGCACCAAAGGAAAAGGAGGGTGGGCAGTGTTTATTAAATACCTCATGGATAAACCTGTGCCAGGCACCAACTGCATTTCACGTGCAGGTTTGGAACTCTGAGCTGGTTCCTGGACTGGCACAATTCCTCCTCGTGGCACAGCCATTTACCCAGGAGTTGGATAAAACCAGCAGCCAGTCTGGTACCAAATAAAGGGGTTTTAGTGCCAAATCCTCATAAAGAAGAAGGCCATAAGTTGCAGTGATGAAGTGCTGGCTGTGACTGATGCTCTGAGTGCTGGGACAGAGACACTCAGGGAGGTCACTGAGTGTCACCCAGGGCTGGCAAATCTCCCCTGAGAACCTTGTCCCATAAATACAGCGACATTCCACACTGGAGCAGTCCCTGCCCTGTGCTGTGTGGGTATAAATTGCTCCTCAGTGAGCCTGGCAGAGCTCCAGGAGTGTTTGGATGATCCTCTCTGGCTCACGGTGTGGCTCCTGAGGACTAAGGGTTGGATCCCTGGGGGTCCCTCCCAACTCAGGGGACACCCTGTCACCCTCTGCAGGAGTGGGGAGCCTGGGGGGGGTCATTCTCTTCTCCCATCAGTAGGACAAGAGGGCACAGCCTTGAGCTCCACCAGGGGAGGGTCAGGTTGGACATCAGGAAGGAATTCTTTCCATGGAGAGTGCTCAGCCACTGGAATGGGCTGCCCAGGGAGGGGGTGGATTCCCCATCCCTGGCGGTGTCCAAGGACAGGCTGGATGTGGCATCAGTGCCATGGGCTGGGTGGCAGGGGTGGGGTTGGGTCCTGGGTTGGACTGGATGATCTCAGAGGTCTTTTCCAGCCTGGGTGATTCTGGGATTCTGGGATTCTGATGCCAGGACACGCAGGAGTCCCTCTGGTGTGCCTGCAGTGCTGACTGTCCAACCCCCCTCCTCTCCTCCGCAGTCCCCCCCAACCTGACCGTCCCCCAGGAGAAGTCCCCGCTGGTGACACGGGAGGGGGACACCATCGAGCTGCAGTGCCAGGTGACGGGGAAGCCCAAGCCCATCATCCTGTGGTCCAGGGCGG